GACAAGGTGAGTATTCTATGTTTGTTTTGTCGTAAGATTAAATATCTAAACATAACTATTCTTGTAAATCTCATATTTGCTTAAAACATTATAAAAAATGATACGTGTTCAAAAGACCATTTAATCTTTTTAAATTGTTTATCAAATAATGGCAATGGCAAATCTCACTTTTAAAATTTATTTTATTTTTTGGGTGAGACTTATAACATGTTTCAAAATCTACTAAATATTTTTGTTTTCAATCAGCCTAAAGAAATATTTTTGTTAATCTGGGGAAAAAATTGCTTTGTGAAAAATGAAATGAGGAAACAAATATTAAATATTTGGGGCTAAATTTGTCCATTTACCAACTAATCCAAAGGAGAAATTGTTAAACCCTTTTATATTCGACCACACAAAATATGATAATCTCACATACGATGGATTAATAGTCTGATTAGACTACTTAGTCCGACCTTCACTTTTTAAATAAAACAATAGATTAGTTGAGATATTGAATATAGAGTCCAGTTTTATATTTTAATCCCCTCAAACAAACATTCTCTTAAAATACAAATAAAGATATTTAAATAAATTGTATATTTTTCATTACACATATTTACACTCAAGATGTACGTTGTTCAGTCTTTTAACATGTGCATCAATGAAACGCATTAACAAAAGGAATTTAATAATTAACTAGCAATAATATGAGCCTAAAGAAAAAGGGGAATGGAGAATCAATGTAGTGGGTATCACACAAGACAAAAAGACTTCGACAAAAAGAAAATGAAAAAAAAGGAAAGAAAGAAAGTAAGGTTTATTTATTTGAATTTTATTTAAGATAGGTAAAAAGAAAGTAAGGTTAGTTGCTAATACTACAACGAATAATAAAAATTTGAGATAATAAAGGGCCTAAAAATATAGTAGTAGTATGTATATTGGATTAACTTATCTTTTTTATTTTTTTTTTAATGGACGATATACGTGAAGAAACTTGAAATTAAGGGTAAATTACAAAGGTATCCGCTAAGCTTTACTTAAAATATAAATTACTTTTATGATTTGAAAACTTACAAATATTCCATTGTCAAAATTTTTATTTATTATAATTAACTAAAAAAATAAAATTCTTAACTGCTGTCATATATAATAATAAAATTACATAAATTATTAATTGAAATAAAATTTTAACACCCTAAAAAACTATTAATTAATTTCATGTTTTACTAATAAAAGAGGTTATTTGTTATGAAATTAAAAACTTTAGGGGTGAGATGGAGTTTTCAGAACTACAGGGAATAATTTATATTTTAAACAAATCTCAAATGATGTATTTGTAATTTATCCTAAAATGAATGATTCAGACTATCAAAATAAGGCCAATGATATGTTTCACAAGCCTAGACAATACTTCTCAAGTTCAAATATGGATTGGAGAGAATTCCTTCCCTTTATAATAAGGGTAAATTACACATAGCTTTTTTGAGGTTTGTAAAAAATAAAATACATTTTTGACTTAATTATGCTAACCTCACCTTTTTATTAAAGTTAAAATGACCGAAACTAGTGCACTCTATAGGTAAAGATTGAAATAAATAAAAATAAATATTTATTTTAATAGAAAGAGATGACACATCAATTTTCATTCATATGATTAATAAATTACTGATGAAAAAACATATAATTATTATGCAAACTAAAACTTGACAGAAGAGTGAGACCTGAATCTAAAATTTATAATTTAATAAATAAGATTCTTACTACTTAAATAATTCACAATATATAATAAATATTTTATTTTATTTTTATTTATTTAAATTATATACCCATCATATATACCAATTGTTAGTAATAATATATAGAAAAATGGTTGAGAATACTAAAAGTATTGTTTTAATAGCACCACTAATGATGTAATAGTGAATCCTATCCACCACTTTACTTTTCTTTTTTTTCACATTCCTAGTATATTAGTGTTATTAATAATTTTTTTAGTGATATAAATTATTGTAATATATATATACACACAAAACAAACAAACAAACAAACGTAAGAGAATCGATGAGAGGTGGTGTGGAAGTGTGATGATGGGTTGCGTTGGTTCGAACCAATCCAAACCATCATTGCGAATCTTCGGACGGCCGAGCCCACCATCGTGAAATCCCTGAATTGCCCTTTTCGTCTACAGATATATATACCTCACTTGCACATCCCATCACTAACCTTATTAAATGTAATAAGACAAATGTTGAAGGAAAATGGTAAGTCAATAATATTAATCAGTATTTTTGTTTTAATTTTTTGAATTTAATTTTTTAGAAATTAAATTTTTATTTTGTGTTTTTTTTATTGAATATTTTTAAAATTTTGAGCATTTTTTTCTACTTTTTTATATGCACCTAACTTAGATATATCTAAAAAATAAAATATTTGTAAAAAAATATTTTAAAAAATCAATAAATACATAAAAATATAAAAAAAAATATACTAAATTCTCATATTTGTTTTTGTATTTTTGGCATTTAGTAAATTTTTATAGATTTTTTTCACAAATATTATACTATTTAAGTGTATTTATGTTCAGTGTATCTAAAAATTTTTTTAAAAAAATACTTAGAATATTAAAAAAATTCAGTGAAAAAAAAAACGAAAAATAAAAAAATTCAATTTTCTAAAAAGTGAATCCTAAAAATAGGAGCCCAACAAATATTACTAGCTAATAAAAAAAACTACAAATAATGAATACTTCTTATTTTTTACTAATTCAATCATTGATGGACAAAGATTGTCTAATATTATTTTTTTATAATGATCTTCATGTATTTTTTTTATCATAATAAAAATACATTAACAAAAGTACATAATTTAACTGTTAAAATTTATAAATTTAAGACTGAAGTAAAATAATATCAAAATACCATGTGTTTTTTTTAAATTCACATACCTTAAAAAGAATGCTTTGTTTCAATTTTAAACTTAAAGCATTAGATTTTCAAATCAAAGATTATTGCGGATTCTTAAAAGTAATGCTAGAGATTTCAAAAATTTTATTAAAAATTCTATCAAATGTCTCATATAAATATGGAACCCACACAATGTGAGTTTCATATCATGCCAGACATGTGATAGAATTTTTAATAAAATTTTTAGAATTTCTAACATTTTTGGATTCCTAATCTGCCATGTAGTCCTATTGCAATGTAAGATTCTCATTATTTAGCTACATTGTGATATCACCATTATATTTAACGCATTTTTTGGATTCCAATGTATCCCACACCTTTGGCCCAAAATATTCACACTAATTAAATCATGCCTCAAATTTTTTATTTTTGGATATTTTTAAATTAGTCCCTATAATTTTGGTTTAATTTTCAATGAGATCTTCTCAAACTTAAATTTTTAATTTAAGCCGTCCAACTTTTCTCTATATTCACTCTTTAAAATTTTTATTTAAGCCCTCAAACTTTAATAATTAATTCAATATCTCTAGTCTATTAATAGATGTGGGATGTAGTTTCAATTAATTTAATGTTAAATAAGACTTAAAATAAGCAAATGATAGTTTTAAATGTGAGAAGAAAAAATATGCAGAGTAAAAATTACTAACAATTTTATGTAAAATAATACATCTTGTAAGACAAAATAAATAATTTCACATAAACTGTTCATAATTCTTTTTCTTCATATTTTTCTCATTTATTAACAATTTTTGGTGTAAACCCTAAAAAAGGCTCAATCTAAAACACTTGATACAAAATGATAGTTGTTTTTTCCTATATTCAATAAATGGATTGGGCTATGTTGATTTAATTATGAAAATTAGGGGGCTTAAATAGAAAATTTTGAGGATTACACTAAAAAAAGGTCACATTGAAAATTAAAACAAAGTTGAACGACTTTTTTTTGTTCGTAGAAATAAGAACTTCAATCAATAAGATAAAATGGTACATAATAATCCATACAACAAACCAACAAACTAAAATTATAGTTACAAGTAGAAATGGAAATCAAAATAAAGAGAAATATTTCCTAGTGCTTAACCATTATCAAAAGGAAAGTGTGTATCTCCGAAAGCCAGAATACAAAAAAATTTCGCAAAACGTGCCAATCTCTTAGCAAGATGAAGATGACAGGAGATTTTACAATAACAAAACTACATAGGGATGGGTCAGGATCATTTAAATAAGTATATTTTTTAAATTTTTATAAAATATAAGTTGAGTATAGATTAAATTTGAAGTGATGTGATAGAGCAGTGACGTGACTTATGTGACTTAAATAAGATAATAACTTTTTAACTTTTTCACTTTTCTAAATTATTACAAATAAAGCCTGAGTAACAAAACATATATCAGAAATTCATAGCAGTAAGCTTGCTTCAACGTCCCTGCTTCAATGACTGAATTGAAAAAAATAAAACATAAAAACATTTGAGGTCCCATTGAAAATTAGATCAACATTAAATGGGGTGATTGACTATGAGTAATTGACAGCAAAAAGTTCTTGATTGAGTGAGGCTCTGTTTGGCAAGGAGGTTTTGAGTTATTTTAGTCACAAAAGATAAAATAAGTTATTTTAATCACAGCAAACAAAATATCATATCGAATTCATAATCATTACACTTTTTTTTTACAAAAAAAAAAGTCAAAAAAACTAAAAAGTCAAAAAGTCCTTCACAAACTAAACTTTTTAACCCAAATTAAAATAGCTAAAAAAGTTAAAAAATTAAAAGTCAACTCACTTTTCAAATGGAGACTCAATAAGGTGACTGTAATTTTTTTATTATAATTTAACTTACTGAATTATTTAATATTTTATCCTATGAAATAAAAATAAAAATAAAAAATTATCATTAAAATAAAGGAAATAGAAAATCCATGACCCAAAAAATGAACATAAGAATAAAATCCTTGCTTAGATGGTCATGATCATAGTAAAGAACATTAAAATCCTTGCCTATATCGGCCGCCTTCCATGCTTACACATGCATGATTGTTGCGGCAGACAGACAGATAGAGAGAGCGAGAGAGAGGGAGAGAGAGAGAGCGCAATGCATGTTTCCCTGACACCCTCCCCCCTTTTACTCTCTCTCATCTCAACTCTGTTTTCACTCTCCTACTTTTTCCACTATATATTGACTTCCCCATTGTTCGCCCTGTCCCTCAGTTCTCTCCAACTCTCTCTCTCTCTTTTTCTTTTTTACTGCTCAGAACTTCTTCTTACACATTGACACACCCAAAGCTTCCTCGGCCAAACCTCCTCCTCCTAACCAACCTTTCAAAAGGTGATCTTTTTTGAATCTCTCTCTCTCTCTCTCTCTCTCTCTCTGTGTTTAGAATTAAGTGCTTCTTTCAAGTTTCTTCTTTGCTTTATTTCACTGACAAAGGTGTTAGATGGGTACACTTTTTTTGTTGAAATTTTAACTTTTTGTTGGTTGCCTCTGTTTTCCATCTCACCCAATTCTTCACCAAATGCTTATATGTTTTGTATACATACCCATACATGCATATATGTTCTCTCTCTCTCTCTCTCTCTCTCTGATGAGGCTCTGGAATGCTTCTTTCACAGTCTTGGATTCTCCAACATTTGATTTTTACTTTCTTTTTTGAATGATTTTCTTCCTCTTTCTCTGTCTTTGATTTCCGTTACTTTCGGTTCATTGCCTTGTAGAAAAGGAAAAATTCTTCTCATATATATGCAAGTCAAGAATATATGTAAGCAGATATAGATATACAACATGCCAGTATGTGTGAATACATTGATTTGCAGATTGTGTTGTTTAGTATCTTTATTCCTGACTTGTGAGGTCAGCAAATACAAACATTATTTAAATGAGTGTAGATTTGGATTTAATGTTATTCTATTCCTTTTTGGTTTCTTTATTTATCAAACAACTCTCCTCTGTTTTTTTCCACTCATTCATCAACATCCTACTCTGTTTTCTTCCCATTCTTCACTTCATTTCTGGTTAGTAACAATCACAGATATTCCTCATGTTTGTCAAGGAAAATTTGGATTCAAAATTTTACAATTTTGCTTTGAACCTTTTGACAGTTGATTATGGTTGGCTCTGCTCACATTCTGTTTTGTATTTTGATTTTGTGGGTATACCCTTTTTCATTTATGCTGTGTTTGGTTGGGGAATTTGGGGAGAAATTTGAAAAGGGAAAGGGAAAATGCATGTGAAATGTAAGTATATTTTTTTCACATTTTTCTTACTTTTTTTATTTCTCTTTCCAAATCTCTCTTCAAATCCGTCAACCAAACAGCATTAATAAAACATGGGTTCGTTCATGTAAATCTACATGTTATTTAAAAAAAAAAATTGATTTTTTTCTGCATTATTCTTTTTACAAAATTCCATTTATTTTTTAATATCTTATATGCATATGACTTTATTTGTGAGATTTTTCGATTTCGAATCTTTCACTTTAATGCATGGTCAATCATACCATACGGTAAGAATCTATCATGATCATACAACACAACTGGAAGTGCATTTAGACATAATGATGTAGATATCGTTTTTTTTTTTGCCATTTTGGATTTGTTTTTGCTCTGTAGTTCTGTTTTCAAATTTCTTAATATCAATTTATTGTTAATCATACAATGTATCGAGAATCTCCAGTTATGACCAAATATCTGACAACGAAATTTGAGAATAGAGAATTTTGTGCATTTTTTGTTCTTTGTTATGGCCATATGGGTTTTTTGAGTTTTCCAAGTACAATTACTGGATGGTCTGTCTTTGTTTTATAATTTTGTTGGCAATGAAAAATGAAATCTAACATACATTTTTTTATTTAATTAAATTTTTTTCTTGTTCTGTTATGTTTTGTTTTGGGTTTCAGGGCTATTACAGCAGTGTTGAAAAAAGTTAGTGTTCACAGTGATGGAAAGGCTGAACTCAGAGCTGTACTTGCAGAACTGTTACATAATGCAAGAGAATGAGAGGCTTAGGAAGAAAGCCCAACTTCTCAACCAAGAAAATCAAACATTGCTTTCTGAGCTCAAGCAGAAACTTTCCAACAAGCCAAACAAGCACCCAAAATCCAGTGGTGGCCCAAACTCAATTCCTGACCTCAACCTTTGCTCCACCTCCAACCCAAAGCCCTCAAAATCCAGCAAACCCTGAGCAGCAAGTGAACCCAAAACACAACATCATGGACCCACCTAGAATTCCCCTCTTTCTTTTTTTTTTGTGTGTAAAACCATAGGTGTCAGTTATATATGTAGGTCAATAGTAGCCATCTATCAATCTGGTTTTACATTTTAGATATATATATTTCCATCTATTTTAGTATCATGTCATCCTTTTGGGGGCTTAAAATGTTGTATCTCTGAACTACAAAAGTGTGTTAGCTTATCAACTAGAAAAAGGAGTATAATATTTTTAGCTTATCTCATTTATACTGAATGTGGCTTATACTGACTCAAATTTAAATTTACACTATGCAATCAAATAGGATCTACCTTGATTATGAAATTTTTTTTTAAAAAATATATTACCGTCGAAATTGATGTAAACAGTAACATCTATCTTACAATAACATGTTACTTATTCTGGTAATATTGTCCAAGAAAAAAAAAAAATTTTATTTTATCTTTATTCAATTATGTGTTTTTTCCTTAGGGGCTTATGATGCAAAATAAATTGGGTTGTCATTTTCATTAAATAATGATCCAATGGAGAGGTTTTAGCTAAATTTTTTAAAAATTAATGGCAAAAGAAAGTCAACCTTTGGACACAAAAAATTGAAGAATTTGGTTGTCAATAGCATGATGCAATCTTATGATCTCACATTAGTTAATAATAGATTTTATTACATAAATATAAGATTTTTGGACACTCTGTCTTTGCAAGTTAATGTTTAAAGATGAGTTCTACCCCAATAATTTGTATCATAGTAGTCGAATCATCAAAAGAGACTGAATAACTAACAGGTCAGTGTCACTATTTTGTACCCAAGGATAGACCTAGAGAAATAACCCCTTACGACTGAAAAAAAAATTCCTTTTAGGGTCCCCTCGATTAAAAATCCTTTTACACAGATTCGACTTTTGTAAGTTTTGAAAAAAATTCAAGTCATCACTCTCTGTAGGTTTCAAAAAATTTAAGTGGCCATCCCTTTATGTTTATGAAACATGTAATCAAAGTATAAAATTAAAAAATTTAGACAATGTATAACAAAAAAATCATTTATCTTAATTAGTGACTGTTAGAAATATTAGCATACAAAGAAGAAAAGGTGTAGGAAATGTGAACAAGTTAATTAATCACATTCATTCATTGAGAAAAATATTGTTCAAAATCATAATGTAGATTTTATTATAAATGCTTTTGATGATATTAAAGAGTATCACAACTCAAAATGTCTTATTTTGATGAATAAATTGTCTTATAGTTATGTACGAGTACGAAATAATTCTTCTCGTATGATCCTGTTGATCAAGTTTGCACTGCTCCAAACAACGTTGCTTTGCCACCTGAAAACAAAAACGTGAGCTAACCGGCGGGTGTGTGTCGGAAACCCCTCCGATGCCTAAGTCAGCAACTAGACAATAGACAATAAGTTCTGTGTATTCTAGAGTAAGAATTGTGATACCTGTACAAAGGTCTGGTCATGAGCTTTAGAGACTTTACTTTGGCACAATCCTAGTAGGATTTCAACTCTCCCTATGAGAGTCCTCCTAGGAGTCATACTCCTACTCACTACCAACCAAGTGAGATGGTTTGCACAATCCCAGTAGGACTCTAACTCTCCTTAGCAGAGTCCTACTAGGAGTCTCATCACTGCAAGCCAAGTGAGATGGCTGAACCCTTTACCTCGGTTATACATTTCTGACCGAACTGCCTTGGTGCGCACCCTATCTTCCTCTACCCGGATGTGTTGGTGCACTCTCTTCATTAGGGCTTCCATAGTAAGGGGCGGCATCATTGTCATTGAATCCCTCAACTCAGTTCACGATATTCTGTTTCAGTCAATTTTACACCATTAAATAGATACTGCTCGTCTTCTATATCATCTCTGAGCTCCTTCAATTTCTTCAAATACTCTTGCCTTGAAACTTTCCTTATAGCTCTAATGCCATCTTTCTCCAAAGCATTAGATCTCTGAACAGCTTATTCTTCCTCCCTCTGTGTTAATTTTGGCTCAGCTAGCTTCCTTGTTGCTGCTGCATCCCGCTCTTTGGTCACGCAATTGTTCTTCCTCCAACTCAGAACCATCATCATCATCATCCTGAGAAGTCCGCCTTTTAACTCGTCTTTCTTCTTCACTGCTCTTCTTTTTCTTCAAATCTTTCTTCTCTGTCTTCGTCTTCTTCGACTTTCTCTGCTTCGAATCCTCCTCCTCTGTCTCCGACTTCTTTTTCTCCCTTTTGTCTTTTATCTGGCTCTTCATAGACTCTATGTCAGTCGTCATTCTTCTTATTACTTCGTCTTGCTCCCTTACGCAATCTTCAAGAACCTGAGGATCCATCTTCTGCATCTGTCTATCAGGGCTTTGAGAGCGGTGTGGACTTGAGCCCTGTTTTTCTCTTGCTTCTCTCTGCAGATTCCTTCGCTGGGGATCTAATTCTGCCATGGGTGGGATAGAAGGTAAACCTTCGCGCCTCCTACCCCCTTCCGGTGTTTGCCCATTAATAGCAGATTGCAGCAAGTCTTCATTGTGCGCCATTGCTTTCAACTAGAGAGGAAAACTTGATCAAGAGGTTTTGCTCTTTATGAAATTCCCACAGACGGCGCCAATTGTACGAGCACGAAATAATTCTTCTCGTATCATCCTGTTGATCAAGTTTGTACTCCTCCAAACAACGTTGCTTTGCTACCTAAAAACACAAACCTGAGCTAATCGGTGGGTGTGTGCCTGAAACCCCTCCGATGCCTAAGTCAGCAACTAGACAATAGACAATAAACTCTGTGTATTCTAGAGTAAGAATTGTAATACCTGTACAAGGGTCTGGTCATGAGCTTTTATAGACTTTACTTTGGCACAATCCTAGTAGGATTCTAACTCTTCCTTGAGAGTCTTCCTAGGAATCACACACCCTACTCACTACCAACCAAGTGAAACGGTTTTGCACAATCCTAGTAGGACTCTACTCTCCTTAGCAGTGTCTTCCTAAGAGTCATACTCCTACTCAGTACCAACCAAGTGAGATGGTTTGCACAATCCCAGTAGGACTCTAACTCTCCTTAGCAGAGTCCTACTAGGAGTCTCATCACTGCAAGCCAGGTGAGATGGCTGAACTCTTTACCTCAGTTATACATTTCTGACCGAACTGCCTTATCTCGGTCCTCTGCCATTCGGACTGTGTGATCGAAAGCCAATCTATCGAATGTCACCCTGCCGAGCTATACACAGCTCGGCTCTCGCCATTGATGTTACCTCTTTTACCTTGGCCGACATCTTTACCTCGGCTGACATTGCGGTCAACCAGGTTATTTCGGCTCGGTGATGCTTTAAGCACCACTGTCAGTCTTGACTCTGAGATGACACCCTGCAGAGCTATCCTTTAGCTCGGTTCTCCCCCCACTGATACCTCGGTTTTGTCTGTTTAGACCGAGCTAACTGCTGCAGTCTCCGACTGAACTAACAAGGACGAGGTCCAACTTGCGAAGCCCAAACACCTCGGCCCATAGTTCGGCCCAAATCCGTAATATGAGATGTCTTCTTGGCCTAAGACCGAGCTACACCAGCCCTTATTTTGGCCCATTGCGCGGCTCAATTCCCAAAGAAGACTCTTCCTAACTCGGCCCAATTTGTTTACAAATTACTCTCTCAAGTTAGTATTTTTTGTATCTCAATAGCATAGAATCTGGCTTCATACATTGCCAGTGAAAATCTCTTCGAAATTTGATGAAATGGAATAACAACTTATTTCCGTACACGAACTTTAATCTCAAATTGCCTATTCAAAATCAAATAGAAAGATGTGAGGGCATTTTTTTATTTCCAAACTATCAACAGGTCGTCTTTTTTTATTGTAGAGCTTGCCATTTTTCAACAAAGAAACTTAAATATGACCTCTGAACCTCCTTACACAATATGGATTTCTTAACTTACTATCTATACAATAGGGATTTCTTAATTTACTATATCTATGTCAATACTATTGTATATGTGAATGTTAACATGATACACGGTCTTTAATAAATACACAAAAATAATTTAAAATTAAATAGTAAAAATATTAAGTATATATTATAATGATTTTAAATCAAGTAATTCTATTATTTTTATCAAATCTACATTTCTTGTTCTTGTTATTTTTTCTTTTTCTTTCATTAATGGTGTCATAGATTGGCCATATTCAACCTCTTTTCTAAATTACTCTCACCCATCCGTCCGTCAACTTCTCCTACCTGATCAAACTTTAACTCAACAGCTATCTTCACATTTGTTATTCTAACTTAGTCGATACCCATTTGTAAAAACATTACATTTGATTATAAATCTTATTCTTACTACTAAAATCAGTATATTTAGGCCTCATTTAGAAATGATATATTTAACTAAAAGTCAAAGATACACTTCAAAAAGTCAACATTTTTTACTATTTTTTTTTTCTTAAAACATTAAAAAATCATTAAAAAAATTCAATTTCCAAACAAACTCTTATTTTTACTATTTTTCTCTTTCCATATTTTCTCATTTGCTATATATTCCTTTAAAATAAAAATTAAAAAACAATTGAGACGAAATTAAAATATACAAGGAAAATATATAAAAACCAAGAATAGCTATGTGATTTTGACTTTGTTGGATATTAAAAACCAAGTTACACTAAAGTCATTCTTATAATTTAATCATAATATTTTTATTTAAACATGCTATAATTTAAAAACAAAAAATGAACCCACAAAATAAATAAATAAATAAATATTTGAATCGGGCATATCATTAGACCCACGGTTAGAATTAAAGATTTAATATCATATTTAGATATTATATGATGTAATGTTTTATATGATACTAATTACGTAATTGATGGGCATTATATGTTATATGTGGTTAGTGTGATTCACACAAGTGACCATAGTATTATTAAAATTTTATTTAAGAATAAATCTTTTTTTTAATATTTTAAATATGTATAATTAAAATTTCGTTTTAAACTTTTATTTAAAAATTTTCAAATTCAATTTGATTTAGATATGACTAAGATTTTAATTTGAACTTTTTATGTCAAAGTTTTTAAAAATTTAAATTAGATAGGGTTAGATATATTTCTTAATTTTTGAAAAGTAAAAATTTTGAGAAATTTAAAATTATAATTTCAATCTCCTAGAGTCTCTTAGACCAAAACAAAAAAACAAAACCTTCGTGGGAAAAATTTAATTATAATAATTCAGATTTTTTTTTTAATGGAAGATATCTTGGTATTTAGATGATAACTTTCACATGACATAATAAATTTTGTCTAAGATATGGGTAGATATTTTCTATATTATACTAACTAATTTTTTTAAATTATATCTTAATCAAGCTATCTTTGCCGGCTAAATTTAATATAGATAGATACAAATTTTAAAATTAAAATTATTTTTTAAAAGATTATGAGTTAAGAAAATTTTAAAATATTATTATACTGATGAATGAAGTTTTTTCCGGTGGTGGTGGCGGCGGGCGGTGGATGGTAGTGGCGGGTGGGGGGTGGTGGTGGGTGGATGGTAGGTGGGTTGCGGGTGGTGGTGGTGGTGGTGGCGGCGAGGGGTGGGTGGTGGTGGCTAGTGGGTAGCAGGTGGGTGGTGTCTGGTGGGTGGCTGGTGGGTAGTGGTGGGAGGTAGGTGGTGAGTGGTGGTGGTAGGTGGTAGTGGGAGGTGAGTGGTGGCTAGTGTTGGGTGGTAAAAAAAAAAAAAAACTGAAAACTAAAAATGAAAACACATTTTTTGTGTTTTCATTTTTTGGCCAAATTTATAAACTGAGACTACTGATTTATAAATCAAAAATTTTACCAAACAAGTTTTTATTTGAGTTTTTAAAATTTTTGTAAATATAAACAGAAAACTGAAAACGTAAGTGTTACCAAACAACACTAATTTTTATAATTATTGGTTTAATGGGTTGGTCAATACTGTTTTTTAATTTTTTTTAATTAAAAAATTCACAAATTTAATTAGAAGTGTTATAGTTTTCATAAGACTCTTTGCGAAAAGTCCCTTTTATTTAATATATAGTACAAATATATGGATGGATAGATACATATAGATATAGTTTTGGAAGAAAATTTTAAAATTTTAGGGTAAAAATTAATGTATGAAATATAGAATATTTATTAATTTTGTAATAAATACATTTTAAATTTTAAGACAAATGTATAATGAAGAAATAAAAAATTCCTCTACTTGATGTGCAAAGATTAATATTTTTTTAAATAGTAAGATTAGTATGTAGGCAGTGACTTTGGTCCAGTCTAAGATCGGACTGGACCGTGCTGTTGGGCCCGTAGGGCCCACCACGGGTCCTGTTTTGATAATCTGCTCTTCAATGTGTAGAAATCGTCGAGTACTATATGCTTGTAAAAAATCACGTTGATCGGATATCGATAGCTATGTGAACACAACAGTTTTTTATCAACCGTTAATTTTTTCACCGTCTATTTTTTTTATACAAAACTGATTTGATCACATAGCTATTGATATCCAATCAACGTGATTTTTTCAGGCATGTAGTTCTCGACGAGTTCTACACATTACACGGTTCAGATTATCAAAACGAGCCAAAAAAATGGGCCCTATGGGCCGAACTGGACGGGTCCAGTCTTGATCTCAACTTGAGACAAGCTGGACCCTAGTATCTAATATATGAAATATTTATTAATTTTGTAATACATAGATTTTTTATTTTACAACATAAATGTATTATCTATTTTTTATTTATATCAATAGAGTATGTGTGAAAATTTTAAAATATTTTCATATAAGTGACATGACATACATATACTAATACTAAATTTGAAGACCTTAAAGATCTCATTTACGAAACCAAACAAAGTCTTAAGTCCCATCAAATAGGATCGGCTACATGAATCCTTTTTCTCTATGTAGCTCTATCAAAGATCATTTCGTTAGTCAAATTAAATAGATCCATATTTATATTTGCAGCGCTGGCCAACATTAATCTAGACGTATCCATTCCCTAACACTTCCATCTACCGTCACTACAACACATCTCTTCACTACTGCCTCCGTTGGTCTCCGTTGAATATGACCAAACCATCTCAATCGATTTTCTCTCAACTTATCTTCTATCGGTGCTACTCCTACCCATTCCCGAATACACTCATTCCTAATTCGATCTTGTCTAGTCTTGCCACACATCCACCTTAATATTCTCATCGCAGTCACACTCATCTTATCTGCATGTTGTTTCTTGGTTATCTAACACTCCATCCCATACAACATCGCTGGTCTAATAGCCATTCTATAAAACTTACATTTTAGTCTAGTGGGTATTCGTTTATTGCACAGTACCCCAGACGCACTTCTCCACTTACACTGTCCCGTCTTAATCCTATGGACCACATTCGCATCAATCTCCTCCGCCGTTGTGATAATCAACCATAAATAATGAAAATGTTCACTCTTAGGCAGTTCTTGGTTCTCAATCTTTACTTCTCCTCTACTTTTATTGTTATTGTTACTAAATTTACACGCCACGTACTTTGTCTTAGT